TTACAGTTAATCAAATAATATTCTTTGATCTTTAAAAAACTGTTCAGGTTTCATATTTTAAACGCACTTATTAGAAACATTCGGTAACATATATATTTCTTTTTTTGACCTCAATTCTGCCAAATTTCCATAAAGTAATCTATCAAGTAATCAAGTAATGCATAAAATCTGTTTCTTATCGTTTTTGTTCATCGTTAACTGTAGGCATCATGCAACTGACTATCCACTATGACTCAAATGATTCATCACACCCCAACTATTCCATTCGTTAGTTCTTAGCCAACAAAAAAAAAAAGACACCCTATCAATTGTTCAAAAGCAGAATCATAATAAATGTAAGAAAATCCTCCAGTTTGAAATTGCCTTTTGAATTACCGTCTTTCCTCCACTCCCCCCTCCCCCCCCTCGAAAAAAAAAAAAAAACAAACGCAAAACTTTCCCGAAAACTAAATTTTCATCAAATATTCTAATGCCAACAAAAATAATAAGTTTTAAAAAACAAAAACAACAACAACAACAACAAAAATAAACTGTAACGCTTAAATCACCTTAATATTTTCGAACAGAAATAAAGCTGAATTTAAGTTTTTAGAACCAGTAGGGAAAAAAGAAACAGTAATCAGTGAAGTAAAATAAGAAAAAAATTGTACAGAAAATTGAACCATATTGGTCGTTCGCTTGTAAGCAATAAAACCGATATCGAGCAAGCAGTGAATTCAGTCTTACAAGTAAAACTGATAATCACACTCAAAAAAAAGGAAGCAAACAGTAATATATATAAAACAAAAATTTAAAAAAAAAACAACAGCAAAAAAAAATTGTCGCATTTTAAATCCGATAAGTCAGTATATTGTACACAGTTAAAAGAAGCAGAAAATTAAAATAAGAATAGCAAAAATACAGAAAAATTATAAAATCTAATAAGAAAACTAATTACCATCATTTACCATTCCTTTAAATGTAACATTGTTAATGATCAGAATAAATAAAATACGAAAATACGATTAAAAAAAATTTTTGCAATTTTCAATCACGTTCTTCTTTAAATAAAAAAAGTTAGCATCACTAATTGTTCAACAATTTCAGTTCAAATTACAACACTAATTTCTTTTTTTTTGCAAAATTATATTAAAACTACTGATGGTTCTCCAAAAACCTTATGTCCCCATAACCACCAAAAGAAAAACAATTGAACCTTAACAAGCATATTGAATTTACAATGTAATTTGTGCTTTTAAACAAAAACAAAAAGCTTGTAATAGCAAAAGCCCAATAAGCCTAAGATAAAATAGCATTCCGCAAATTAATAAAACACTTGAAAAGCTACAAACATGGAAACAATTGTAAAATTTGAAAAAGAAAAGTTGAGGAACATTTTCACAAAAAATTTATATAGAAGACAAAGCAAAAAACTCAGAGGTAAGCAGACGATTCTGCTCTGAATGAGTTAGCAGTATCCAAGAAAAGCAATTCCTTTTCTTTCCTCCTTCATCACTTTTTCTTTCAAAAATCAAAACGACAATTTTATTGAAAATTTCCAATAAAGAACAACCACAGAGCACAATTGTAGTTATATTATTTAAGAAGTTGAAAACCTTGATGAACACGTTAACCTTGTTGCAAATGATGCACTCAACCAAAAGTCGACACCTAAATTACAAATTTTTACAAACAGAATCAAAAGACCCGTGAAATCTAAACACTCACCAGCATACAACCATATAAACCAACCGGTTTTGATGTTTCAATAACTGTGCATAGTATATAATTTAAAAAGATTTTCCAAGGCAAAAGAATAAAACAGGCCTATCAAACTACACATAGTTTATTTGTCAGAAGAAAAAAGTACATTAACAAACGGATAACACATGGCTTCTATGAAAAATAGCGATTATAAAGACACAACAAAAACAAAATCAAACCTTATCGCAATCACTTCTTCAAAAAATTTGAAGTTTTTGTCGAAGAGTTTAATTGTTCAAGAAAATTATTGAACGAATGCACATCTTCGCGACTGCTATTCCTCAGCAAACATCTCATGCCTACAACAATAATACATCTATACGTTTCCAAATGCCAAAAGGTCCATTACGAAATTATTTTTGGGTAAAGTC